CTGGCAAACTGGCGCTCTGTCGAAACTGGCACTCTGGCGAAACTGGCACTCTGGCAAAACTGGCGCTCTGGCAAAACTGGCAAACTGGCGCTCTGGCAAAACTGGCGCTCTGTCAAAACTGGCGCTCTGTCAAAACTGACACTCTGGCGAAACTGGCACTCTGGCAAAACTGGCAAACTGGCGCTCTGTCGAAACTGGCACTCTGGCGAAACTGGCACTCTGGCAAAACTGGCGCTCTGGCAAAACTGGCAAACTGGCGCTCTGTCGAAACTGGCACTCTGGCGAAACTGGCACTCTGGCAAAACTGGCGCTCTGGCAAAACTGGCAAACTGGCGCTATGTCGAAACTGGCACTCTGGCGAAACTGGCACTCTGGCAAAACTGGCGCTCTGGCAAAACTGGCAAAACTGACACTCTGGCGAAACTGGCACTCTGGCAAAACTGGCGCTCTGGCAAAACTGGCAAACTGGCGCTCTGTCGAAACTGGCGCTCTGTCGAAACTGGCACTCTGGCGAAACTGGCACTCTGGCAAAACTGGCGCTCTGGCAAAACTGGATGTAGAAATTAATATTTTTAGGTCAGTTTCGTACTTCATGTTAGCAAATTAGCAGTATTGCATTTTGATTGGTCATCGCAAATCATGTGAGTGATCACATGACAGGACAATGAACGTTGAACAATAACTCAGTGTTGTATGTCAGAGAGAGACGCACGGGTGTGCAAATTTATGTCGCACATAATTTTAAATAAAACTTTATAAAAATCAAGAGAAGGTCTTGCTTTTTAAATGGAGCCCGATATGGGACACTTGAACAATCTAATCGGTTAAAGAACTATAAGCCTATAACGGCGGTGAAATATTCAGACGGCGGCAGCGAACATTGTTGTTAATAGTGCCCTTCAAGTGTCATTCTCGCAACCTCGTTCTTCTCGGTGAAAGGTTGCAGATCTGTTGTCTTGGTAGAGGTAACTTCTTTATTTATTCGGTTGAAATTAACCTTAGGCTTTCTTTCACACTTGCGTATATTTTGCGTTGTAATTGTTTGTGTTTATAGTGTATATTTGTTGTTTAATTGTCGTCTTGTCTAGTGACCTCGTGCTCGGTATATAGTAGGTTAATAGGATGGCGACTGATTTAGGCAAAGCTAAAGGTAGACTCGCCGGTCTTTCAGCTTATTTAAAAATTCTTTTACAAGAACTAGACCAATATGTTTCTTCTGAAGACTGTGAGCAAGCGAAACTTTTGGGGTTGAGAAATACTGTTTCGAGTATTCTTGAACAATTGGCTGTTGTTCATAATGAAATTATTAACATGCTTGATCCAAAAGAAATAGAGGCTGCAGTTGTCGAACATATGAAAGAGTTAGAACCCAGCTATCATGTTTTGGCGAAAGTAGACTTAAGGCTAGCTGCGTTTAATCAAAGTACGAAGCCAATAAATACCTTAGGCGCTTCATATGGTAATAACGTTCAGGCGCAGGGCAGCGCAGTGCATTGTAGATTACCTAAAATGCAATTACCAGAGTTTTCAGGAGACCCACTGGCATGGCAAGGGTTTTGGGACCAATTCCAAGTAGCAATTCATAGTAACACACGTATAAGTGACATAGACAAATTTAATTACTTAAAGGGATGTTTGAAAGGGGAAAGTTTATCTGCTGTATCAGGTTTAACTTTGAACTCAGAAAACTATCAGGAAGCAATAGAAATTTTGAAAGGCAGATTTGGAAATGAACAAATCTTAATATCTGCTCACATGGAGTCACTATTGAGGATCAGTAAGATAGCATCTAGGGATAATATTAAAGAGCTAAGGATGCTTTATAATCATGTAGAGAGTTGTGTAAGAAATTTGAAATCCCTTAAACTTGACACATCTGGTTACGGCTCATTGCTAATTCCAATCTTAAAAGATAGATTGCCTGACGAAATTACCATGATTATTTCCAGAAAATTTGGCGAGGAGATCTGGACACTTGATAAAGTCATGGAATATTTTAATAGTGAGCTTCGAGCGCAAGAGAATTGTAGTGCATCCACTTCGAATAGATCTATCCAGAAAGAATCCCAAAGGAAGGGGGGATATTATACTACTAGTGGTTTGTTTGGTCAGACCAATAAGGTTGCATGCGTGTATTGTGGCAAGGAGGGACATTCATCATCCAAATGCAGTAGTGTTTCGAATTGCCAATCCCGAAAGGCCATTCTCCGTAGAGACAAAGCGGTGTTGTATATGCTTAGATACTGGACATATTGCCAAAAATTGTAAGTCCCATTACTTATGTAGGAAGTGTAAGACTGGCAAGCACCATATATCCAAATGCGAACATACACCAGCAGATCCCCAGGTATAAATCGGGAGGAAGATAAGAACGCAACAACTAATGATAACAAGGGTTTTGTGGTACATGCTGTGATAAAAGCGGTATACTATTGCAGACAGCTATAGCGGATATATTACCTACAGATGACAGTGTGCACGTCTAGACTAGAATTTTATTTGACAGTGGCAGTCAGAGGTCGTATATATCTGACAAGGTTAGAAGTACACTGAAATTGAAGGCAATTAGAGTGGAGAAAGTTGTAATCAAAACCTTTGGGCAGGCTGAGAGTAGTGAGGTACAGGAACTTGATGTAGTTCAACTTAAGTTTAGAAATAAAGGTGATGCTAGATTTACATTTGTAGAAGCCCTATGTCTCCCAACCATATGTAGTCCGCTGACACATCAGCCCCTGTCAAGTGTGCATCAATTACCAGAATTTGCAGGTTGGAATTTGCTGACTTTGAGCACAAGCAACACCAAAATCTTCTGGTCGGCATTTTGATTGGCATCGATTTTTACCATGTCTTTATAACTGGTAAGGTTATAAGAAGTAAATTAGGCCCTGTTGCATGTAAAACTAGAGTGGGATGGGTACTTAGTGGTCGAATTGGCTCAAGTGCATCAGATATGCATTGTTTTGAAATGCATTTGCTACGTGCTTTGGTGGAGCAGTCAGAGTCAGACATAAGCTTACGGCAAGAACTGGATAAGTTTTGGAATGTGGAGAGCATAGGCACTAAAACTGACAGTGTTGTTGACCAATTCGAAAATGACATTATTCATGACGGAACTAGGTACATCACAAAATTACCATTTAAACCTGATCATGAGGTGCTCCCTGACAATTTTAAGGTTTGTGAAGGACGGCTTAAATCACTAAAGAATAAGTTGGTTGCAAGTAACATTTTGCATGAGTACAATCAAATATTCTTGGAGTATGAAGAAAACGGTATAATAGAGCGTTTCATCAGCTGAGGTTGCAAGGGAAACAGGGCAGGTACACTACCTTTCCCATAGGCCGGTTATACGTAATGATAAACAGACTACCAAGATATGCGCAGTATTTGATGCCTCATGTAAAGTCAGTGGTCCTTCTTTAAATGAATGCCTTTATTCAGGTCCTAACCTGATAGCTAAGACTTTTGACATTTTACTTAGGTTTAGATTGAATAAGATTGGGGTATTAGCTGACATAAAACAAGCTTTTCTAAATGTTGGTATAGATGCACAGCATAGAGACTACCTTAGATTTTTGTGGTATGATTTGCAAGCTGAGGATGAGCAGGTAGTAATTTACAGGTTTTCAAGAGTAGTTTTCGGAATTACGAGTAGTCCATTTTTATTGAATGGGACCATACGACATCACCTCAGTAATTACTTAGAGAAAGAAAGAGAAATAGCACAGCAAGTTATAGATGATCTTTAGGTTGATGATTTGGTTAGTGGCTGTAATAAACTTGAGGAGGGTAAAGCCCTATACGATAGAAGTAAGGCAATTTTATCTGAAGCCGGTTTTAATTTGCACAAATGGGTCACCAATGACAAAGAATTAGCAGGGTACATTGCGTCAAGGGAAAACGGAGACTACAATTTACTAGGTAACGATAATGACATGACTTATTTTGAGGCAACGTCACCAAACATCACTGTCGAGCATCAAGTTGTTTTAGGTGTAGGGTGGGACACAACATCTGATAATTAATTTTTCGTTTCGTCGATTTGATTTCAAAATGTGCCACCGTTAAACACACAAAAAGGAATATGTTGAGATTTCTGCTTCTATTTTCGACCCATTAGGTTTCATTGCTCCAGTCACTGCCAAAATCAAAACCATTTTCAGTTGTCTATCAGGGTGCGGTCCATGTTTGTTTTTAGCTTCAAAAACTAAGGTAGCTCCCTTAAAAACACTCACGATTCCTCGGTTAGAACTCTTGGGGTGCTTACTCCTTAGCAAATTAATTTGTGAAGTACTCATAGGAGTTGAAAACCGAATTAATTTGCATGATATATTCTGTTGGACTGATTCCAAGGTTGTTCTTTGTTGGGTTAATGGGAAGGAGAAGATTTGGGAGCCTTGGATTGAGAATAGGGTTGTGGCTATAAGGAAAGTGGTGGATCGTGAGAAGTGGCATTTTGTTAGGGGTGAGGTAAATCCTGCCGATATCCCTACTCGACTGTCTTCAAAATTTAAAAGATTGTTTTTCGGGCTGTTGGTTTAAGGGACCTTTCATGTTGTTGTCACAGGAGTTGGAAGTTATAGGGTAAAAGCTAGTTGTGGTAACGAAAACTCTTTGGTTGGGAGGGTTGATGTAGAAGTTCCTACTGAAGTTGTCAACTTCAGTAACACGACAGAGAAGGTCACGCCTAACAACAGCAGATGTTCAATTAGTGCTGTCATTGATTGCACTCGTTACAGCTCATTGAAGAAAATGCTACTAACAACTGGCTACGTAATGCGATTTGTGAACAATTTAAAGAAGCGAGTGAGAAAAGTTGATGGTGATATCGTCAATGATAGTGTACTGACAGTCGATGAATATAATAAAGCTTTAGAGATGTGGATAAAGGAAGAGTAGATACTGATGAAAGAACAAGCAAACTATACTAATCTTTGTGCTTCACTGCGGTTGGACTTATGCATTTAAAGGGACGGTTTGCAAATTCATCTTTAGAGTACGAAGAACAACACCCGGTAATACTTCGTAGCAAGGACAGTAGTTACTTTACTCGTCTAATTATTTTGGAGGCCCATGAAGTTACAATGCATCACGGTATTGAGACAATGCTGGCACGAATTTGAAGGAACTACTGGATCGTTAAGGGGAGGAAAAGCGTTAAACAAGTAATTCGAAAGTGTGTAATTTGTACGCGTTTTCAATGTCAACCTGTGCGGGCGCCTTCTAGCCCAGATTTACCAGAATACAGAGTGGATCATATGGCGTACGCATTTCAGTTCACCAGACTTGACTTTGCGGGACCTTTATTTATTAAAGATGGATCAAAGAGTAACAAGTGTTATATCCTTTTGCTTATGTGTGCTTCGAGTCGAGCCATTCATTTGGAGCTAGTACCGGACATGTCTATACATGGATTCTTGCAGGGATTTAAGCGATTCGTATCACGTCAAGGTGTTCCCGAGCTCATAATCAGCGACAACTTTAAAACCTTCCGGTCATGCGAAGTGAAGAAGTTCATATTACTTCGAGGCGTTAGGCAACATTTTATCTTACCAGCATCGCCATGGTGGGGAGGATTCTGCGAGTGACTAGTTAGAATGGTAAAAGGTCAAAAGTAATAACGACAACAATATCACGGTAGACAACGTTGTTCTAATCAAAGATGACAGACCTGCTCCACGTACGCAGTGGAGAATAGGAAGAGTGTTATAACTTGTAAAGGGACGGGACGGACAAGTTCGAGGTGCATGGTTGAAGGTGCTGTCGAAAGCTGGAAAACAATCATCGGTACATCGACCCATTCAGCGTTTGATTCCCTTTGAAATTTCGAGACAAATCTACAGTAAACTCAGCAAATGGGGGATGGTGGTTCAAGACGTTGTTATCAACGCACAGCCTAGCAGGAAAGCGGCGGTTGAAGGACAGGCCATGCGTCGAATTCACGAACAATATACCTAAATATTTTAAACTATTCAAACTTTAATCTTTGGTTGGGAGGATGTTATAAGTGAATTACTTCATGTTTCGTTTGTATATAGTCCGTATTGTAATTGGTTAATTATAGTCACGTGAATCGCCTCGTGTGATTCGTGGCTGAATGCTTGAACAATAGCTCAGTGTTGTATGTCAGAGAGAGACACACGGGTGTGCAAATTTATGTCGCACATAATTTAAATAAAACTTTATGAAAATCAAGAGAAGGAAAACAATCGATGTACCGATGATTGTTTTCCAGTAAGGGCTATATTCTAGGGGTGGAGCACTAGAGCCGTGAGTGGGAGTCTAGAGATCAGAAAACAAAGTGTCCCTGGAAAAATTTGAAAAAATCATGATTTCTAGATGATTTCTAGCTTTGAAAAAACGTTTTTTGAAGTTGTCATATCAATGGATTTGGCCCGGTCCGATTGTCTGTTGAGACTTGAGAGAGTTAAAGTTAAATGAACCTGTAAAAGTGTAAACCCAATAGGCCAATACACAATATGCTTTTACTTTTATAAAATCATTGACATTGTGTCATTTGAATCCGAGTACAATTTATGATGCAACTCCGATGTAAATAATATTTGGGACGTAAAGATTAAATCTAGGCAAGACTATTTCCTAAAAGAATTAAAAACTAAAAATAATGTTCGTAAAATTTCCAAACATTTCTTGCAAGCAAGCTATTTGCATGACAAGGCACTGCAAGCTCTATTTGGGGGAGATAATAGGAGTTTCAAAACTTTACAATTGGTCCAATAAACCAGTGAATGCAAGCGAGGAGCAATTAGTTTCAGAGTATTGCACTGTCTTTTTCTATTTGAGTGTACTCCTACGTTTATTTTGTATCATCAACACTCTGCACGTTGGAGTGGACGATTTAATTATTTTTTATTATGCCAAATATTGGGGGAGGGTTGAAAATTTTTTTGGAGGGGTGGACATTTTGTTTGGGGGGGGGTTATAGCTAATATTTGGGGGGGGTAGCACACCCTGCACCCCCCCCCCACACACACACACACACACACACACAAAAAATCCGTCTATGATCTGAGCATCTCTTGAGTGTCAATGCTGTCTTTGAATAGCTGGAGGGTGAGTAGTCACATAGTAATGTACGACACCAATCCTCTAAAGCTATTGAAAAACAGCATTGACACTCAAGAGAAGCTGAGATTGAACCTCCACTCATTGAGTGTGAGTGAGCTTTTAGAATACAGGCGGACCTTTATTTTTCTCTCATGTGCGTATATATATATATTTTCTTATGAGATAAAATGTATGTGAGTACTATTGAAGATTGTGAACATAGTTCAAACGTGTTGTTACCGTGATGCTTAAAGTGTGTGCCTATATAGTAAAGCCGAGTTTCCACTTACAGTATTAACGTTTTCGCCAAACGATTTTCTCTTCGTCAGTGTGTTTGGTTCTTGTTTACTTACGTCGATGAAATTTCTAGCATAAGTTAATGATTTTCAGTGACTGTTGGGGCACGTTAACTCCTCGAATAGGAATAGGAAAAAAATTATGTAAAGAACATTTTTATGCCGAAAACGCGAAGTGGAAAATCGACTTTATGCATGCAGAAAGAAGCGAATACGATTGATCTTTTTTTGCACGAAATGTAGAAAGAAACAAATATGACATAAGCATAAACATGTAACACTTAATTTCCATAAGTTTTAATAAAATAGTGGACAATGTGATTTTGAAAGGGGCTGATTACATGGAGAGTTTTGAGCCCAGGCTGTGTTTCATCCATGTTTCCCGGTGTCACAGCGGATTTGGACTCCCCGCGGATAGGGACCCCCAGGTATATTTTCATTTTCCGTTTTTATTTGAGCAGTTAAAGGCTAGTTTCCACTCAGGAAAATTATGCGTGGATTGGAACGGACAAGAACATTTTTCTTTGTCTTGTGAGCTCTGGGTTGGAACTAATGACTTTAACACAAAGAAAGATGTTCTTGTCCGTTCCAATACACAGATAATTTTCCTGAGTGGAAACTAGCCTTAAGAGTCAGAGCAGATAGCAATTCCAAGGAATAAAATACTTGTGAAGGCTTCATGCACTTCTCAGTTCTCGCACATTCCAAGATCATAGAAATAAACCCATGTACCAAAAATTATAAGTCATAAACTTTGACGGAATTCTCCAATCAAAAAATCTAAGATTTGATCATCTAAAAATCTTAGTTTTTAAAATAAATCAGATGAGATTTATGACGATTTAAAACACTTTCAGTACAATATTCAAAATACGATACGTTGCAATTACAAAATACGCGAGGGGGGGTCCAAATTCGCGAGGGGAGTCCAAATCCGCTAGCGAATAAAGACCCCCATAGGTCCATATTCGCTAGCGGATTTGGATAAAGTCCTAAGGATAAAATCCTATTAAAACAGAGCCCAAAAAATCCTATTAAAACAGAGACCAAAATTTCAGCCCAGGCTGAGTTTCAGCCAGGCGAAACTCAGCCAGCATGTAATCGCAAATAATTTCAGCCCGGGCTAAAAAACAACCGTTGAAATGGCTTTATTTTGTGTGTTTGCCATGTAATGTCATTACTTATCGAGTTAATTTAAGGCTACTTTCCAGTCCGGAAAACTATCCATGGATTGGAACGGGCACGAAAATTTCTCTTTGTGTTAAAGTCATTAGTTCCAACCCAGAGCTCACAACACAAAGAAAAATTTTCTTGTGCGTTCCAATCCACAGATAATTTTCCTGAGTTGAAACTAGCCTTTACCTGATTGGTGATTACTGATCGAGTCTACCTGCAAAACATCAACTAATAAACTGTGTACTGAAGTCATTCATGAGGTGACCGCAAGGGAATATAATATATTGATATATTGCATGGTTTCTTAAGAATGAAGCAACAACATATTATATTGATATATGGCGTGCTTTCTTAGGAACAAAGCAACATAATATATTGATATATTGCGTCGTTCCTTAAGAACGAGGCAACAACATATTAAATTGATATATGGCGTGGTTTCTTAGGAACAAAGCAACATAATATATTGATATATTGCGTCGTTCCTTAAGAACGAAGCAACAACATATTATGTTGATATATTGCATGCTTTCTTAGGAACAAAGCAACATAATATATTGATATATTGCATCGTTCCTTAAGGACGAAGCAACAACATATTATATTGATATATTGCGTGCTTTCTTAGGAACAAAGCAACATAATATAACAGTCAGTTTTAATATAATACATGGAAGCACTGAGAAGTAGCTATATATATTCAATTGATGGACATTCCTTGGTTGTTAAATTTCCATTTCATATGTCCATTGGACATTTCAAATGTCCATTGGATCCAATGGACCATTGGACATAATACTCATTCAGTATATCCACAATTCTCTTTCCCGGTGGTTACAAAGTCCAGTTTAGTCCATAATTGGATCCAATTGACACTCGAATACTCAGGTATGTTAATGCCTGGGCCTTGCCACGTTTCATAAAATATGTTCACGTGTGAAACACGCGAGTCTTTTTGGATGCGTGGGGAGTGACATGTAGAATACAGTATTAAAAATATACGCGAGAGAATTATGGCTGAAATACAGTATTTCGTCAAGATTTTAGCCAACATGTCGCTTTATGGATATAATTCTTCCGAGGGATTTTTCGCATTTGTTCACCAGGTCAGTACTTAATTTTGTAATAGATTTTTAAACATTTTGCATAGGCTGCAAACATTGTGTTATCATTCACATCTTGTGTTATAAGGCAATGTGAATGTGGCTGGAGCTACAAAAATTCCGATGCTAGAACTGCAATATCATTTTAAAATATACTTCAGTCTTTATATAAAGAACAAGAACATTCTTGTAAACACGAGGTCACATGAAAATGCTAAAAGAAGAGCGTTTTTACAGCTCCTCAAAGCATTTGTATGCGTCGAGGTATACGTAAATGATTTAAATTAATGTAGCATTTTTACAGCTTGTAAGTGTCACGAAAATATAGTATACTACAGTATATACTAAACAGTAAAAGACTACTTTACAACCAATGATTTTATGTTTACATATAAAACTTGCCCTGATAAAGTTAAACAATTTCCATCAGATGTATAGCTAATTGAGCCAGTGTGGGCTTTGGACTGCAAAATATCTTCAGTATAAACTCGAGGTATCAACATTAAAAGCTTCAACAATTCACAGTATAAAATTAAGCTGAATTTATCATTTAGATAATTATAATATCCATTAAACTGTAAAATAGTTTTGACTGGCTGCCGAAAGACTCTAGGTCTTGACAACCTGCTGCCTAAAGACTCAAAGTCTTGACAACATAAGCTTCAATAATTCACAGTATAAAATTAAGTTGAATTTATTATTTAAATACTTAATTATAATATCCATTACTGTAAAATAGTTTCCACTGGCTGCCGAAAGACTCTAGGTCTTGACAACCTGCTGGCAAAACTCAAAGTCTTGACAACATAAGCTTCAGCTATATTAACAATATAAAATATAGTTTAACTTGTTATTTAGATTTATAATTATACTATCCATACAGTAAAATTATGGTTCCCACTGCCCACTGGCTGCCAAAAGACTTGACAATTAACATAAACTTCAACAATTTACAGCTTCATTAGCTTTACAATAGTTGGTTATAACCTTCTTGCTGCTTTGTTTATATAGCCTAAATTACAATCCTTACTGCAAGTTCTCTCTCAAGACCCTTAATAGCTCTGGTACAGATGGCCTCATTGCTGACTTGCTATCTTTACACCGCTTTCCCAAGGATTCCAGACAGGCACTTGGCAGTTTCTTTCCAACACTATGTATGATTACCCCAAGGGAAAAAAACATCAGTAGACGTACTCACCAGGAAACCTCGCAAGACCTCTGTGGCAATATGGTTGTAAAAAGAGCTGCATTTTCGAGCTGTTGGTCTAGAAATTGGACAAGCTTTACCAAAGTATATCAGAAAACCCTTCTTTGCAGAAACAAGAACATTGTTAGACTTTAAATCACAGTGCAAAAAACCTTTTATGAACATGAAAGAGAGCTTCTGTGATGTAAGTAAAACTGAAATCCACTCATTGTTAGAGGGACATTTTTTTGCCAGGGTTTGGTGTAACAGCTTATGAACTGTTACAGATTCCATACCCTCACCGAGATACTGCATAATTAAAGAAAATGGCTTTTCTTCTATTTGAACCCCCAATAAATATGGGATAGATGCATGAGTCAGTGCATTCATACACTGTGCTTCATTCATAACTTCCTTCCATAGGTCCCGGAGCCAACAGGAATAGTACCAGTGTTATTTTTCTCCACTGGTGACAACTCACTGGGGCTTATTTGCTTTACTGAAGCAGTAATAGTTTTGGATATTAATGAACCATTACCAATTGCGGCTGTATCTAATAAAACCTATAATTATATCAGAATACAAAATATATATTTGAAATTTTATGTAAAATTGATGTAGTCAAGCAAATAGAAATTCTGCTGTTGTGATTTCCTTCCACTCACTACTTCTATAATTTGAGTTTGTTGATCATAAAATGTTATTAAAATCATCTTGGTACAAGGTAATCACAACTTATGCAATCCATTTTGTTACATCTAATACTATTGATTTGCAAACTTTTCAAATTGCCCAAACTGGTCTTTGAGGATATTATTCTTATTGACATCACTTGAATGTATTTTCCCCTGAGCCACGTGGGAAAATTGCAATTGCTAAACTTTGGGTGGGATTTCCCCCAAAATCCCCCTCACACACACACACACACACACACACACACACACACACACACACACACACACACACACACACACACACACACACACACACACACACACACACACACACTTTGGATCTTAGTACACTTCCTAAAGTTTAAAAGGTGGCCCTTATTGGAGAAGATCTTTTTGAGATGGCAAGGGGCTTTAGTACATTCATGACAATGAATACATTTCTGGACTTTGTAAAAATATTGAGCTTTTTAATACACATATTTGAAGCAAAATCATCATACCTTTGTCGTGTGTTGTTGTACTTGTATTTTGCATCTCAGGTCCTTAGCCTCTTTTGAAATATTTTTCAATTTGGAATAATATTTCTCAGCCAATGCTTTCTGCTTCTTTACGCCGTCACTTATCCTCTGCGTAACAGCCTCCTCAGCAGCCAGACGTTTGGCGACCGCTCGTTCTTGTCTCCTGCGCTTCTTGTGGCAATTTCGCATAACCCTCTTCTTTAGCAATTGACTTATTTCGTTGTTGGCTTTCCCCATTGTTCGTCCAGCGATGTGAACAACAATATATATAACGGCTGTATCTAATAAAACCTATAATCATATCAGAATACAAAATATATATTTGAAATTTTATGTAAAATTGATGTAGTCAAGCAAATAGAAATTCTGCTGTTGTGATTTCCTTCCACTCACTACTTCTATAATTTGAGTTTGTTGATCATAAAATGTTATTAAAATCATCTTGGTACAAGGTAATCACAACTTATGCAATCCATTTTGTTACATCTAATACTATTGATTTGCAAACTTTTCAAATTGCCCAAACTGGTCTTTGAGGATATTATTCTTATTGACATCACTTGAATGTATTTTCCCCTGAGCCACGTGGGAAAATTGCAATTGCTAAACTTTGGGTGGGATTTCCCCCAAAATCCCCCTCACACACACACACACACACACACACACACACACACACACACACACACACACACACACACACACACACACACACACACACACACACACACACACACACTTTGGATCTTAGTACACTTCCTAAAGTTTAAAAGGTGGCCCTTATTGGAGAAGATCTTTTTGAGATGGCAAGGGGCTTTAGTACATTCATGACAATGAATACATTTCTGGACTTTGTAAAAATATTGAGCTTTTTAATACACATATTTGAAGCAAAATCATCATACCTTTGTCGTGTGTTGTTGTACTTGTATTTTGCATCTCAGGTCCTTAGCCTCTTTTGAAATATTTTTCAATTTGGAATAATATTTCTCAGCCAATGCTTTCTGCTTCTTTACGCCGTCACTTATCCTCTGCGTAACAGCCTCCTCAGCAGCCAGACGTTTGGCGACCGCTCGTTCTTGTCTCCTGCGCTTCTTGTGGCAATTTCGCATAACCCTCTTCTTTAGCAATTGACTTATTTCGTTGTTGGCTTTCCCCATTGTTCGTCCAGCGATGTGAACAACAAAATAAAATATAAATTTGTTACACTGTACTATAGAAACCGAATGGAGATTGCGATATCAAAATTGATTTTAGCGCCAAATTGCTCGATTTTGCGCAAATATTACAATATTTTGTGCATTGATGGATCCATTGAAACATAATTTCAGATATCAAAGGCAGCGAGTCAGCGATATTCTGCGTATTTATAAAGAATTGAAAAGGAAAAGTGAGCAGTTATCAGGTATAATATAATACTGCTAATATAAATAAGTATAATATATATTATAAGTATTATATGTAAATAGTATTGTATTTATAAATAGTATTGTATGATAGCAGTATTATTCTGTTTATAATTCTTTAGAATATTTGGTGGCTCTTAACAGCCGTTTTTATAATTTCATTTTTTCTCCAGTTTCCACTGATCCACCAGGGCTTTGCAGTATTTTAGTTTGTCCATAAGTAGTTTTGAAGTTGGATCTTTTAGCAAGGTTTTTGATGTTAGTAATTTTCCAGTTTTATCGAAATGTTGCTGCTCTCGTTGTCTTAGCTGTTGTTTGATTCTAGACTGTTCCTGTGATATCTTGGTTTCCATGACTGGTAAGATATCTAAGTATTTTTTATCAGATAACTATTGTTGGGTGAAGTCCTCAATCTCTTTCTTGCCTTGTCAAACTGTGATACCTCCTCAGTTAGTCCCAATATATAGGCCAGCTTTTGTCCTTGTTTTGTGTCGGTTTTCTTTTTCAACTGTGTTCCTAAAATAGACAAGTTGAAATATGTTTAACTATAAACAGGGGCAACACATACTCATGCCTGATTATCAGATTGAGATGGGATTTTAATCAGCCCTATTTAAGGTTATTTCCAGGTATGTGTCAATAGAAATATATCAATAACAGTGCAAGTACCTTTGTCCGTAATGTTAGCTTCAGTTAAATTCAATCCGTTGTCATGACCAATATCTTCAATAACCTCCACAATCCTTGCATTATGTTCAATGACTTCTTGGTCATTGCTACAACCTTCAATGCCACCAGTTTTCACAACATCATCACAACCAACCACCATCTCAGTACCAACAACAACATCTTCACAACCAACCGCTGTCTCACTACCCACCACAACATCTTCGCAACCAACTGCTGTCTCTCTACCCACCATGACCATCTTCACAACCAACCACTCTCTCAATACCAACCACAACATCTTCACAACCAATCACTGTCTCACTACCTACCACAGTATCATTACTAACCACACTCTCAACCACAACACCAACATCCTCACTTCCTGATGTACAACTTTCCCTATATCCACTCCTGCAGTGTTCACAAATACCATGTTGCCCTCAGAATTTTCAATCTGAAGCACTTTGATTGGCAATTGTACTTTTCTCTCCAAACATGTTTGCCAGCAGCTTTTCAAGTAAGCCTCCTCTTTCTTGAAGTTGCTGGAGCGAAAGTGGTGCAAGGTTGGTCCTTTTGAGGAACTGCTTCATGATTTCCCTTTGCATCAAAAAACTCAATGTCTCCATTCTCACACGTTCTCCACCAAATTCCTTCACCTGCTAATAAGATGAGCTTGCCAAGGTCTGTAATTGCTTACTAGCATCTGCTTAGGGATAACAGTGTTTCCAAAATCTGGTAAAGAAGATGCAAGCTTGGAAACATGAGCTTGTTGCGTATCAGAGGTTGTAGGTTGACTGGCCTTGAATTCTTTTTCAGCCTGGACTCGGACAAAAACGTTGGCAATGATATGATCTGGGTGGTTAGAAGATGTCATTCGGGTTATGTTGTTGATGCTGTTAAATACTCATTCCTGTTCTTCGGTGTTTGCTGATATGCCACTTATCAGTCTGTTTTGGATTGGTGCGTGTGCTGTAATGTTGTGGAAGTAGTTACCATAAAACTTTCGAGTTGTCATTTGTTTCAAGGAAAATCCAATAACTGACTTACATAACATTGCATGATGCCAGGTAAGGTTGTGGAATCTCAGAACTGATCGTGGTGTTCTCTGAGCTTCTGAACTGTAGGCTATTTCTTGAATTTCAACAAGGGTGTCAACCAACAATTGAACTACTTGATTAACTGAGCCTCGAAGCTGATTTGAAACCAGAATCAAAGCACAGCGGTAATCAATAGTCGCTTTGTGTCTTTCCCTCCAATGCACAATTCAAGAACAGCCTTCAGTTTAGAAGCCTCATCTAATGATAGGTGGTCTGGTAGTTCACCAAATAAATTTTCAATGTGCTTCCCAATGTCGTGGAGAGGTTCAAAACCTAGAACTTCATAACCAGCACAGTTAATCGATTCTAAGGTTTTGTTGGGATTGGTAAATAGAAGGGCTGGTACTCTTTGCACTCCATGCAACTCCTCCTTTAGAAGATCCTCTAACTCTTTCTTCTTATCTCCTTCGTAGATTGCCCTAGCATTTAATTCATGTACCAAGTTGGTTTTTGTTAATCCATGAAATGGTTTGTTTGACATGGCCAGAGAATTTGCTTTACCAAGTGGACCTTTCAAAACCAATTGCTGTTGATCTTCTAGTGATATATGTGGGCAACGAAATACATAATCAAGTTCATGTACCCGGTGGGCATTGGCACCACATACAGCACAGTAGAAATTTCCCCCCTTTTGCTGGCCAGCTTCGTATTGATGAGAAGGACTGTCACCATGAAAAAACCTCATCTTGTCCACAATTAGTATACCAGAAGCTGATACTGTGAGATCAGGGAGTTCATCCAAACATTCAAGTCTGGTTTCCACATAGCACAACTGATCTACATCCGAGGACGAGGACCTTGCCACAATGTACAGACTTGGAGCTTCGAATAATGACTGGATGTTGATCTTTTTTCCCATTATAACTTCATACTCGTTGTTAGTGTAGAATGTGGCTGGGTCATATAGGCAGGTTGCCATAAACACAAGGTGAGAATGGTTTGCTATAGTTGAGAGGTCATTCCATACCAGTAAATGCCTTGTTCTTTCCATCACTTTTAATCTTTCTCTCATCTCGGTCTCATCCTCCCCATCCGTTTTCTCGTTTAGCATGTCTAGCCTGTTCACAACTTTCTCTTTACTCATGCTGCCCACATCTCTCTCGGCATTAATTCTCATAAATTTTTCCAACTCATTCAGCTTTCGTTTTCTAATTTCAACTAGTGGCCATTTGCGTCCTTCTACAAAAAAGTGTGATTTTTCAATTGAACCATCCTCTTTGAGCACTAGCTTCTCATACTAAACAAAAATATACAGTTGGAATATTAATGTGGATCTGCATTTATTTTTCTATAGCGATATGCTGTATATGCAATCTTAAAGAAGATATGATTTTCATTAAAGTGCATGGTCTGACCACATATGTACATTGTTATTCTACAAATCTGCCAAGTCAATTATTCTGGACATCAGTAAGTATACAAACCACTTAACTGAGCTAATTATTATGATCAAACATTACTGGTTCAATATTTAAAAGAATAATTATAAAACAATTATATGTTGTGTATGGTTCTAAACTCTTTTCTCATCCATAATTCCACATAAATTTGTCTCCATGAGAATTTTGAATTAATTATTCTTTATATATTGGGCCAGTAGTAATTATTAGGTCCTTTATAACTCAGGTAAAATTAATATATATACTGTACGTTATCTCTTTAATATGCTTCTGGGGAGCTTATTTCCAGTAGACAGCATTGTAGGGGAGGCATATTGGAGGGGGGGTATAATTGGGAAGGGCAGATTTATTCTCTTTTTGACCATGATAAGATAACTTATCAACTAAGACACTTATGTCTATGGGAATGTGGGGCTTTTTCGAGGGATGAGGGTTTAAGAGATAGGGTTAGGCTTACTAAAATTCTTCATCTGCAAGGGCAGCTTATATTTAAGAGATCGAGGAAAGCTTTTAAAGAGATTACTGAGTGTATACAATTTTGGTTGTATGTAAAGATTTATTTCCATTTACCTTTCTTGGCACTATCAACTCCCCAACATTCACTTCACCTGACAAAATCTTTTCTTTCAATTTTGCTTGCAATTTCCTACTGGATTCAGGGCATGGAACTATGATTTCACCACCGACACTTTTTTTCATCTTTTTCCTGATATTGCCAATGTCACTCTCTCTTCTTTTCTTGAACCTCTCCACATTAACTCCTTCTGATTTCAACCACTCCATTGCTATTTGTCCACCATTTTGAGCCATCTGTCCAGTTTTATTCTTTACTCTGTACCTCCTTGCTAACTCGGACCAGTTGACCAAAGTGCCATCACCAAAGCTGTTTACTTCTTCCTTCATCCCATCTTTGTCCCACTCCATATTTTCAAATCTCCCAACAGGACTTTTCTGCTTTCCCTGTTGTCTCTGTGCATTGTGTCGTTCAGCTGCTTCATCTTTGCTTTCAAAAGCCATTGCCAACCTATCCCTTTGCCTTCCAGCTAACGACTGTCGATTCCCAAAACATCTGTAAAATATACATTTTGGTAAACTACATTAATCTATATTTTCTGGTTGAACACTCAGGATAGACTTTACATAAAAAAAATCCAGGCTTTCATATCAACCTGGCAAGTTGGTTCAATCTATATAGTGAAGCCCCATACTTTTGAACAACTAATTTATACAATTTAATTTCCAACCAGATACTTTATATAAGATTATGAGTAGTATAATATACTGTAAATGTATTTAGTGGGATTAATATTACTAGTATCCACCCCTGCTACCCGGATAGATATGAACGCCTAGTCCATCCCTAGTGCCTGACCAAAATCCACAGTCTCAGATTATACCTTATCAAAGATGTATTTTCCCACTCTTTCTCGACTACTTCTTTGAATTTTCTGTAATTATTTCTTCTTGTTCTCTTTTTTCAGCTAATGATTTTTTTCTTTTCAATATTCAGATCTTTAACCTTTGTCAGCGCTTTAACAAGGGAATGGCCAGTTATCTTTTCAAACGTGGGATTCACTTGGTTGTATAAAGATTTTGCAGCTTCGCCTGCTTCACGGAGAGTAGTGCTACTGTTTATATGTGTTTGGTTTGGCAGTCTGACTTCAATAGCTTTGTTTGCAGCATCGAGGTTGTTTTCCTTCAATAAGTTGGGGAATCTATTGGATTTTATGGGGAATAGTGCTTGGATGTTGTTGAATTTGAGCTGACATGGCTTGCAATCTTTGAATGTATGTTCAATTTGCATCGGCGGGGACAGTTCATTCCAAGCTTTGATGTTGAACGCTGCGGTGTAATGATTGCGCTAAGTGATCTTCCTGTGATTCCACAGACTGAATTTCTCGCGAAGAGGTGGGAAAATTGCTTGAAATAGTTTAAGATCTACAGGAAAGTTCTCATTGCAGTCTTGGAATATATCCGAAAACCGGTCATATCTTTCCCGCATCAATCGCGCTTGAAAATCCTTTCACGACTTGTCGTTTTCACATTTGATATTTTCGTCTGTGTCAACTTGTACCGCGATTTGCCAAGCGACTCCTCGCGCAAAACCGCACATCAAAGGATGTAGGAATGTCCCACACATTAACAAACGTATTGACTTAAATTCAATGAGCTACGCACTCTATAATATGGCGAACTTGTAAGTATATTGTACAGAGCCAACGATTGTGTTCTTTACTGCTGTAGAAAGTTTTGGAATTTGCGCCTAAATTTGAAACTTGCGAATTTGCGTCATTGCAGATCTTGAGATAATTCGATAATTTGATATACGCCACTTGATGAATATAAATTTTTGTGTGTTTTGTCGCCAAATAATATGATAAAACCTACTTATATTCTTCGTGTATATTCGGCAAATATATAATCAGTAGAAGTACTTTTAATGCTATTTACAGAAAGCAAATAGTATATATACATGCTTATTTTATGCGCTGTTGTCTATCATTATTGTAAATATGCTGTTACTAATGCGCTATATCGTTTCTAGAATATAGAAATTTGCTACGAAATGTCAACAAATTCTGCTGTTTTTGCCGTGTTCGTGTCCGCCATGTTGTTAAACGCGACAATCACCATGGAAATAGCATATTTTGGTGTTTAGCCGCTGCACCCATCACAGAAACACGCCGGCGCGTTTTCATAATGGCGATGAATATTATTTATGTCACACAAAAAACATGTTCGACTTGCAGCAGGGTAAATGTAAGGTTTTTTATTGTTTTATCTGCTAAAACTATTAACAAGGGGACAAAGTTTCTTGAATGAATTTCAAAATAGTATGTTTACGAGAAGAATAGCAATTAATGAGGCGATTGGAAGTCACATTATGCACACCATCGTCATATAGTCTTATAAAATAATCAAACGAGGTCTAAATGTCAACTTTCCGAATTCAATTAAGATTGGTATCAGATGAAACTAAATGTAGCAATTCTGCCTCATTTAAAGCACAGATTATGCTGCTGCAGAGCCCCTGAATAAAAGGTACCATTTTGCATCTTGTTTCGCCTTATATATGTCACGTGATCGTCGCCATGACAACAAAATGTTGCCCAACGTCTAGGAACTGTCATGACAAATCGTTTAATACCCGAATGACAATATTTGAGTGATTAGCCAAGAATAATGACAGGAGATTGTAGTTATCAGGGGCTGTTTGTATAAAAAAGTGATTAAAGTAACTATGGTTAATATCAGTGTTAAGCCTCAGAGGGGGGGAGGTCGGGCATAGGTGGGACATTTTATTTTTTGAGCAAATTTTCAATCAAATGCCCCACCGTCGGGCAATAAATATTGGTCAAATACCCCACCATTTTGCAATAAATTGCAATAAATACTATATTAATAAATGTCATTCAGTGTAAATTGCCCCAACTTAGGGTCAAAATGCTAATCAAAATCCCCAAGGTGGGGATGCAATTGATAGGTGCATAAGTGCAAACGTCATCCAATAAAAAATGCCTATTTGAGAGTTAATCACTATTTAACATAAAATAGTTATTAAAAATGTGATTAAGAGTTTTATGCAACCGGTCCCAGAGCATTTACATTGCAGGTGTAAAGTCTTATTTTCGTGTGATGTGTCATTTCAATATGTGTTTTGTGCTTGTTATAATTGTAGTTATATTGTATGTTCTAAATGAATAAATAAAGTTTACATTGTTATTAGTATTATATTATTATTATTATCATTATTATTATGACAAAATTACTGGATGCTGATTGGTTGAGAGGAGTACAATTATTTCATTAATTATTTATCTTCTGTAATCAGTGGCAAATACTGCAATTTCATTGGTTTACAGGAGTGCGATTTGAGCATTAATCGCACCTTTTCTGAGCTGTAATCGCACTCTTGTCTACAGCCAATGAAAATCAGTCTAGTATTTACAACTAGCCAATCAGCATTCAGGATACTTTGAATTTTATTTTCTTTATTGCTGTAAAAAATTTCAAAATGGAGGAATTCACAAATTTTGACCTTTTAATTTTTAAATCAGCCCTCGAAAACCGTCAAAATTGAGGTCGGAAAAAAAATGCCGACCTAAACCTGACCTAGCTCGGTACATCTCGGCATTTTTTAAAATCTGTTTCCATGTCTTGGAGCACTAGTAGCCTGCACTAGTAATCACGTATTTACGATCGATCATTGAAAAGTATAAATGTCACGAAGCCTTTTCTTTTAGAGTTTTACCTAAATTACATCATAAATATACCCGTTAATTCTTAAACCTTACACCAAAGTGCATCGAATTTTATAATCGCTGACTTTTTAACAGCTATAAGCACCAAAAAAGATTATTACTTTGGCTGAATTAAGGTCGGCAAAACATTGCCGACATGGGAGGTTGATAGGTCAGCATTTTAATACTGTAGGTCGGCATTGCCGAATGCAGATCTCGTTTTCGAGGGTTGTTAAATTATATATATATATATATATATATATATATATATATATATATTATATATTTTCTGACGAAAATGACCTACCTGTTCATCCAGCAGAAGACACCGAACTAAACACAACCAGGAGTTATATTTCAATCCAATTCAGATGATTAATTGGGCTAAAGAACTTCACTATTTTGCACACGTTATAAACATACAAACATGGCTTCCCAATTGTGTGTTGAATAATTCAAACAATGTTGTCATGTGATTATACCGGAAATAATGCCCGGAAGTTAATAATATGTTAATTTGATTATATATGATAAACAATAATTCAAAATTGTACTATTTCACCTCTGCTATTTCACTAAGAATTGTCGTGACAAAAATTTAATAATTATATTGAACTTCAACAAATTGTATTTTTCTGCTTTTCCCCCTTAAACAGTTTGATTACAGAAGATAAATAATTAATAAGTAATAGAACGAATTAAAGTCGTACTATTAATGCCATAATCATACTCGTGATTAACAAATCCACCTCCCGCTACGCGGTCGGTTGATTTTGTAATCACTCGTATGATTATGGCATTAATAGCACTCCTATTCGTTCTATTACCATCATTAATTGTACTGCAGTACAATTAATGATTTTCCCAAAACAAACAAAATGGCGGAAAGGTATTTTGAACACAAATGTGAAATGAAATTGCCCTTGAGGAACTAGATGAAAATACAAACAAAAGCACCAAATTTTTCTTGAACAAAAGAACTAAATGAAAATACGAACAAAAGCACCAAATTTTGGTTGAAAGTCTGGCAGGATTGGACTTTGGCGAGAGAATATGATGTTGACATTGATAAGTATCCAATTTTGTCATGCTAATAATAAACAAGTAATCATGCGATGTTGCTCGTACAATTAGGGATTAATAGTATTCGTGATGTTTGGAAATTTGCCAAATTGGACTAGCCCCGGCGACTCGTCCAATTTTGGCAAAATTTCCAAACATCACTCGTACTATTAATCCCTAATTGTACTCGCCATCGCATGATTACCTATACGAATCACCGAATCATACACACATTATTTATACACAGACGCATTATTTGGTACAAACACATTCTTAGTTCGTGGTATTCGGAAACGAGAATTCAGTTCTTCGGGTAACGATGTGAACTGCTGCACTGAACCACCTTGTGATACTGCGTTCGGGGTTCTAATGCGACTGTGTAATCTTATTCCATGCTCAGCTAAATTAACAAGTCACCTATTCGCTACGTTACTTTGGCTCAGTACTATGCTTAAAGTTGCATAGCGATATTAAAAGCTCATCCAGCCTTGCGATATTCAAGAACATGATTCGCAAATTAGACATTGAAAGTATGCTGGACAATAACTGTAATTGCTGCATTTTATGCAGCACTTAGCACTTATTATTTTTACATATATATTTATAAAGTAGATTATAGTACTGCATGATATTATAGATAAATATATTGTCCCCAATTAGCTACTATTGCTAAACAATGTATAGACACTTTAATAAAGTTTATTATTATTTATTATTTATTATTATTATTATTATTACTCACGTGTTTGCGAAGAATGCTGTAAATTGGTCACCGCGCTTAAAATCTTATAAACATCTGAACAGAATCCTGAACATTTGGTATTCTGCCCTGTCTCTCTTCTGCCATGTTTTTCAATATGTATTCACTAGCTTGGCGCCACTTGGCACGCACGATTTTGCCGAGTCGCTCTACTTCCGTTTTTCCAATTTACTTCCACTTCCTCATCTTTTAGTTGTTTTACTTCCGTTTTCTCATCTTTTATTTGCATTTACTTCCGTTTCCTCATCTTTTAGTTGTATCGATTATCTTTTGGTTGTATCGGTTTATCTTTTAGTTGTATCGGTTTATGACATTGATCTATTTGCACATAACATCAATGTATAGTACATAACATCAATTTATAGCGCATGAACTCGATTGATACATTTCAGATATTATGTCCGCTAAAAAACTTCATAGCATGGTGATACAGTATATAAATACAATCCAATATACTGTATCACCGTGAAAAAATACATTTGTTTTTGTATTCACTTTCGGAATAAGAAATTTCGATGGTAAATAAGAAGATTCAAAACATCTTCTCAAACGTACCTTTTCAGTATGTCTGATATTATGGTTACACCGTATGTAAAATCAACATACTAGTACATTACATGTCAAACTGACTTACTCTCCTCAAAGCATTCAAAGCACTTGCTGGTCAACTGGTTTCCATTCTAGGAACAACATAGAAATATCCATACAACACTGTTCGTCTACAGTCATGGCGCAGTGTAT